CTATCCCGAAGTGCCTTCAGATTTCAGCTCAGTCTTCCTCCTCTACCCGTTCAAACTCACCGGCACGAAGTCCAACCGTTGTGAGAACTCCAGTTTCACCTGGCATAACTTGTTTATCTTTGTTGTATCCTTTGAGTACTGATATCCCAGTAGACGAACTGCTGAGTGCTGAAGACCAGTGGAAAAAACGAATTTGACGAAAGAATGCTTGGCGTTTACCTTCTCTAAGTCAACAGCTAGCCAAACCACGTGAGGTTCGTAATATACTTCGCCCTGCAACATCAACCTCGGCCGACCAGTGGCGTTATAATCTCGTGATCTTCCACGTGCCGGAGTCCAGTGATCCATCACCCCAAGTGCGCTACGATCACGTTGTCGAGTTTTTACAGATTCTAATTGACAGACTCCTCGACGCTGATGAGGACTCAGTAAAAGCGAGGCAAATTACCCGTCTTGGAAAGCAAGGTGATCAACAAATTTGGCTTAAAAGAATCGCTTTTGCGGACGAAGCTAGTCCAAGACCTATCTCGTCCCTTTTAGGCAAGCTGTAAGGTTTGAAGACCTATGTTCGTCCGGACTTCAACCCAGTCGACCAAGCACGGCTCAAGTCTGCCACCATTGAGCTGAAAAGACGTACGGGTGAGGGGGAAACAAATCTCCGTATCGTAAATTTTCGGGTGGTTACCAAAAATCTGCGAATCAGGATAAACAGGTTGCTCACACTCCAAACAGGCCCGGCGGTTCCTGCTGCGGCCTGCGTGTGACCTTTAGCAACCTTTGCAGTGTTATGAACAAGCGCAATGAGCTTTGTCGTTTCGTTGCGTCTGAGCGGCCATACGTAGTGGGACTCGCAGAGACATGGCTGCATTCAGAGATGTACACCCAGGAAATTGACCTCAGCTGTTACTCTTGCTTCCGCTGCGATAAACTAACGAATTCCCACGGTGTCCTCTTTCTCTATATTTCTTGTTCCCTGCTTGGGAGACTTGTGAGCACCTACCGAAGTGACGATGGTCTGTGTGGACTACTGTGGTGCTCCATTCACCTCAAGCACGGAAAACGATTTGTGGGCGCAGTCTATCGCAGCCCCTCTGAGCCGTTGTTTCGATTGGCTGCCCCATCTTCGAATCCACATGAGTCGTCCACATTTTCTACGATGGCCTGATGTGCATTTGATGCCTGAACATGGTGAGGTTGAAGCAACTTTCTTGGATTTGGTACTTAAAGGTTGTGCATCGCAACATATTTGCTAGCCAACACGCATAACATCACGCTCAACCTCGTCCTGTCTCGACCTGATGTTAACGAACTACGAATAACAAATGCGTGACGTTCGGATCCTAGAGTCCCTGGTTACAAGCGACCACTCAGTGCTCATAGCTGATATGGAATTCCATTTTGCCGTGTAAAATCGCGAGTATACCTTATCTGCTAGAGCCAGCTTATAACTACTGGAGAACGGATTTCGACGGTCTAGCGCGAGCCAGCTGGATTGGTCTCTGTCGCAGGCTGCATCTGTGGAGGACCGCTGGACATCTATAAGAGATTGACGTCATTGTGTTCCCAATCTGTGCCCTTGAGGTGTCGGAAGTTTGGACCGATTACGTCTCATTGGTTTGACAAGGAGTATGGAAATCTGGCTCGGGAGAGGCGCAGACTGTGGAACTGACCTCTCTGACTCTGCTAATGACTACGAAGCGTATAAAAGTCGGTGGAAAGGAATAAGCGTCGACGTTTCGAAGAGCAGCTCGCAATCGTCGTGAAGACCGCTTCAGAGAGAATTTTTACTTACATGAAGCGACGCCTGAAGCGTGCAGGTGATCTGCCAGTGCTGAATGGCCCGGACGGACAACCCCTAAGCTCCAGCACTTGGCGTACGTCCGCGTTGGCGGCGCACTTCGCTTCTGTATTTGCAGATGACCAGGTGTCTGTACCCAGTTTAACATGTACCGCTTTTACCGAACTCGACAGTCTGGATTGCGGCGTTGAAGTAGTATGTCAACTACTCGCTAGCCTAGACAGCACCGAACCTATCGGACCTGATGGACTTCACCCACTGATTCTCAAGTCACTTTCGGCCATCATCTCTCCTGCCGTGACTAACCTTTTCAGCAGGTCACTGTCCGAAGGTTCGTTGCCGATTGACTGGAAATGTTCGGTAGTGGAGCCCATTCCGTAAGGCGGCGACCCCCTCAAAGTAGACAGCTACAGGCCATTTTGTCTGGCACCTATTTTGGCAAAGGTTGCTGAGAAAATCGTGAAGAAGGGATTGTTGCAGCTGCTACAGTTAAAAGTGATCCTGACGCCCCCACAGCACGGTTTTATGCAAGGCCGCTCATGCATTACAAACTTGCTTTTAACGAGGCATGAGTGGTTCCAGGCAATAAGCAAGCGGAAGTCTGTCGACGTGACATTCATCAATTTCAGTAAAGCGTTCAACAAATCAACTATGAGGTACTTTTTCATAAACTCAGGATGTGCGTTGTCCATAGCTTACTACACCGGTGGACCTGCGACTTTCTTGCTAGACGAACTTGCAGGGTACAGGTCGACGAACATATAGCTGACTGGTATCCTAAAAGGGGCGTGCTATAAGGCATTGTGCTGGGGCTCACTCTGTTCCTGATCCACATCAGCGATCTACCTCAGCTTTTCCGGTTGTCGTATGCCTTGTTTGCAGACAACAGGAAGAGGTGGAAAGAAATGGACGCTCCCGACGACTATGGCATAATTCAGCATGACCTCAACCGCCTATCCACATGGTCTGCAGTGTATCTCCCGGTCAACCCAACCAAGTCTCTATGTATGAGCTTGGGGATAGGTGCTGACTGCCGAACCTACACCCTTGACGGAAAACTGTCATGCCCCACCCCCTCCGTGAAGGACCCATGTGTACTCTCGCGCTGCGATTCGAAGCCCGTGGACAACACGAACAGGCTATATCTTAACGGATTGCGCATGCTTTGGGCGCTCAAACTTAGTTTCGGCACATGGTCTGAAGAGGTTGCCACTTGCCTCTTTTTTTCCATCATTAGACCAATGCTAGGGTGTGGTTCGCCCGCCTACTTTCCGATTGTCCGAGCCGAGGCACAGAAGATCGAACGGATCCAACAGATTACTGCCAGGCTCATCCCGACTTTACGTGGCTTGCGGTATGACGAGGAGACTACGAGTCTACACCTTGTTCTGCCGTCAGGTGCGAGTCGACTTCACTAAAACCTACCGTCTTCTATATCCCACTGACTGCCCCACGCTGAGGCCAATGCTGCACTTACGAGGGCCATGCAACACACGCGGACGCAGATACAAACTGATCGTGCCGGATGGGAAGCGAGTTCCTCACCCACTGTGCTTCGAACGTAGAGTGGTAATTATTTAGAACAGTTTGCCTGAACATGTGATGGAGGCCACATCTGTGCAACAGTTGAAACCATCGTTGAATTTATATTTTTCCACCATCCGATTCAGAGAACGATTGTACACTTACGATGGCATCTCATATTTGTGAGTCAGATACTTTAAATGTCGCATGAGAACGAAAACGATATTCACGGTAACAATTTTTATAACTTTTTTCACCATATTTCGAAGGAATTGTGCAGAACTCATTTCTACTTTCCTCACCATACAGTATTAAGTATAGCAGAAATGGTAAACATGTAGGCTACAAGTCCGATAATATCTCCTAGCTTTATTGGTCGCTCGTTTGAACCATGGCATGATGTTCACCAATGACATTGTGATGTGGATGCTATAGCAGTCAGATTCCTCGGTCGAACTGCTATTCGCACCAGTGGTTACGGATAATTTTGTTCGTAACACTCACGTAAGTGACATGCATTAGAATCCAGAGACAATGGTATTTTGATTTTGTAATCTTCAATCTATTCTCTATCTCACTATAACAAATAGAAAATAGGACCTCTAATGGATGATGTAATTTTTGACTATTTATTTCGCATTGTGAATTATGAATGAGTTTTCCACCAAGCAGCTCACGGTTGGTTCACGATTATCAACCACAGTCAGTGAAATGCGTTAGTTGTGCACATCCAATTTTAGTAAAGTAGTAGTTGTATAAAGTATAAAAAGGAAACGCTATTCTCGATAGGGCATTTTATGTGAAATCTCATCTGTCTGGGCAGTGCTAGTCGACCTGCTCCTTTATCAATATCGATTTAATGGCAATGTGTGGACGTGACTTTGGAATTCATATTGAATACCACCAACATCCTGCCGAGCTGCGAAACGCTGTCTGCATTAAGAGGAACAACCAGTTATCGCACTTTGTCACAACAGTCGAGTTAACGGGACACGACGATGCTATGCACCATCTTCAAGCTGGCTCCTATTTTCTCTGTCTGAGCTCCAATGTGTGAATACGCGAGAGCCTTTTAATTGAAATCGGATGATGTGTGCTTGCGAGACTGATCTATCAGCTGTTGCAAGCGCTGTAGCTTGATGAGGCTTTTAAAGTAATTCGCTAAACTACTTCAACTGTACCGAGTATTGTGCGTAAAGGAAACCGCTTTGTCGGTCCCACTCATCATGTGAAGTGCCAACCAGCCGAAGCAGTCTTGATCGATTCTACATGAAATGTCGTAAACCAGCATGCAAGGCTGGGGCCACGCTGCCTTAAAGATAAATGAAACACGTCTAGGTACTGCCTTCCCGGCGTTTGAACTCTCGTATTTAAGCGTTTCAACTGGTTACATCCACACGCATCTCATACTGTTTTTATGTAAGTGTCGTTATAAACTGATGGAAAATTTCCATGGAATTCATTTTTTCGTTCTGCGTTATGAACTTTCGCCCAAACTCGCATCAACCCCCTGCTTTGTTTGCATTGGTTTCACTCTGCTGCTTTTGTATACGCGTTCTTCGATGATCACTAATGTTCACGATGGTCTTCACTGTATTTTCAGTCCTCGCCAAAATTATTACCATTCTTATTCGGATAAATTCACTAATAATTTGATTTCTTTCCTATTGTACTGAAGGTTTTGTTGGAGACTCTCGTAATCCTGGGCGCTCAGGTCCGTTGGTGCGCCTGCAACATTTATTCGACCCAAGTAAGTTTCCGCTGTGCCCATTGTTCTCTGTATAGAATCATACTGCGTGCTGCGCTTAAAACCCATGCTTTCTCGGAACTGCTGTCCGCATTTCCGATTGTGCTAATCTTTCAAACATTAGGCAGCTCAGCGGCACTGTTCAATCGGATTATCTCCACCGACTATTTTATTTCGACGTAGGACCTTCCATCTGTGTTCTTGGCCTCAGATAGCCTTCCAGTGCCCTACGGTTATGATCCATCGCTATATGCCCATCCCACATCACTTAGGCATATGTCGTTTTCAACAAGTTCTACCATCTTTAGAAAGGGCAGGTAATCACCTTATCGGCCTCGAATACATTATATCACGCCACAGCGCGACCATTGTCACTGGGGATACCAGGGACACCTTTGTGCATCAAAACACCGAGGGACGGACTGCTTTTTCTCCACGGTGCTTGCAAAGCATTTTTCATACCTAGTTGAACCGTCTACGTCTTCCTACTTATGTATTTTGCATATCGACATGTGTCGTGTTCAGTCACTACACTATGTGAGGCATCACATCAAATCGACCATCCAATGAAATTAAAAGAGCATGCCGTCTCCGTGAGTATTTTTGTTCTACAATAGACGGCCAGTCGCTGGAGACCCTGTGGGTGTTATTAAATTACTTTTCAGTGACCAGCAAGTCTCACAAACTGTTCGTGTTGAATCCACCTCATGAGCTGCGTTTTGTTTCTCGTGGCACTTTGTCCATAGTTCCCCTTCATTACGTAATCGGTTCCCTTGCTTATTTAGATGGATGATTTGACATTTTGAGCTCGTTTTCGTCACAGTTCTGTAGGTCGTTTGTGCTAGTGACAGGTAGAACTGTTTTAGTACACTTCAGTTTTTCCGTCGGTTATTAGTTTCTTTTAGACCGAAAATTAACACGTCGTCGTTTCAGATACTCACATTATTCGTTCCCGTTATTTGTTGATATCAGGCGTTTCCAGCTATGCAACTACGCTTTATATGTCTGCCGTGTTAGGCTGTACACTATACTTCCAAACGCTGATTGCGCTGTTTGCCTAAATGCACATCGGCGAGTGCACTACCACAATCGCCGTTCGGTTGAGCATTAAGCTTTTTTCATTCGCTTTTGGGAGCTCTTTCTTGGATTCTGTCATCCAGCTCAAGTGCCTGAATATTTTTCTCTCAGTAATCTTTTCAATCTTCTCCCATGCCGGTTCATGGCTTTAAGGATCACAAGCATGCGTTGATACCATGAAGTCCCGGGTTCGATTCGGTCTACAGGACCCGACGCCCATCGCAGTATTCTCAGCCCCAGCGCTACTAGTGGTCGTTGCGCGGCATCGAAGCCTCCTTACTGCGTACCAGCGTACTTCTGATGCCTTGTTTCTGCCTCCACTGACCGAGCACATATCAAGACTATGCCTGTATTTTCGCCGTGTTGCTCGTTTCCTTTTGATACTCCTTAGCAAAACTAGCTTGGACGTCGGCGCGATCGGCGATTTGTTCCACACTTTTAATGCTAAGAGCACTCGGCTTATTTGACTTGTTTTACTGTTCTCGCCAGTATCCTACTCTCAGCGGCACTTCCAAGCTGTTCTCACATTGCCTCCAAGAGTTCATTTTCGATGGCCATCAAATGCTGACTAATGCTTCACCTATTTGTTTGAGTACTGTGATGCCCTAAAGAGTTGTATGTCTAAAAATTGGTAGAGTGCTCTTCCAAGCACTTATGTCTCGGTTTTACCGTGAATTGAGCTATTTCAATGGGTTTATACTACACACGAATGTTATGCAATAAGTACACTGGTTTCCGCCTCCCAACGCGCCTGCTTGCTTTGCACTTCTATCTCCCCTACTCTCTATTTTCTTTGACACATGCCATGTAATCCTGCATGGTGTTAATTCTCCCTACACACTCATCATTAGCACTTTTTTCTCCTGACTAGTTATCCTGCTCCGCTACAATTTGGAAGTAACCGCTACTAAGGAGGTGTACATAATTCCAGTGGGAAGAGACTAATGCATGATCTGTGTTGTCAAGCATTCAGAATGGAAGTCTCTCCATATTAAAATCAACCGCTTGTTTTCAAACCCCTCTAAAATCATCAATTTTCCATCGTTTCCCAGGCATATTTCAAGAAGATAGCCACCTTACTGCTTTCATCGCCGCACGCACTTTTAGCTTGGCTGGAAGACAACAGTGTACATGCCACTGGTACGAGGTGCGTAATCTATCCATTTATCACTAGTGGATCACTCAGTCCGTCTCGTGGACTCCTATCTGAAATACTAGACGGGCTAAAAAGACGACCAGAGTAGTGATCGTTCCCCTCTACTCTGGCATTTTTAAATCCAATGGTCAGCGTGAAGTGTCATCAAGACTTGGGCGTGTGAACATTACGTGTACCCAGGTAAAACGCTACGTGCTACGCTGATTATCATTACTTGGCAACCACCTGAGAACATTGGGGTTCCATCCAACACAAGTAGTAAACCACGTGCTGTTGACCATATAGCTTGCACAGCTTCCAGAACCAATCGTTGCGAATGTTGGTTGCCTTTGCATTTCATTCTGTCGTCGCGAGATCCGCGCCACTTCTTCGTTTCAGTTGGCTAATTGGCTTCGAGTCAGTCCTGTAAATCTCACTCAGCAACCGCCATGTTGGTTTTTTGGTGCTTCATCAACTGGGTTATCCACGTCAGCTCGTTTTTGTGTTTGCATGAAGCGTGTGTGATTGGGTTCATAGACAAGCGGTACGTAAGCATTCATTTAAACGGAATGCGTCACCATCCTAATTGAAATGCGTGTCAGACTCAACACTGTCGGAGTTATCTAACCACATCTTCATGTAGATGTACATATTGCGCCATTAACGCATTCACAAAGCCACTGTTCTATGCGTACCTTTCACATGCTGAAATTCTTTCAGAATGAAGTCGCCGCGGCTTTGGCTGAAAAGGGCTACTCCATCTACGCTTGGAAAGGTGAATCGGAAGATGATTTTTGGTGGTGCATCGACCGGTGCATTAACGCCGACTCTTGGTCGCCAAATGTTGTGAGTGGTCGTTTAATTGCGCCTACTCTGTCAATCGAATCTTTTTCATGGTTCCCACGTGACTGTGCGCTGATCTCATCCGAAATTTTCCTTACTGTGTCCACCATCAGGCTGTGTTCCCTCTTAAACTGTTCCGCCTTTTTAACGGATCAGTCGCTCATTGTACTTCGAACTTCTGTAAATGTTCCCAAAATTGCTTTGTTCTGTAACTAATAGGAGGGTGTAACTATAACCATTATTGCTAGTCATCTATTTCCAGCTTATTTCACAAATGAGGTCACACCTATAGCGACTGCATGTCTATGGGATTTTGCGCGTCATCGTATCTCAGCAATCTCGTCGCTCATCACTTTATATATACTCTCCCCGAACGAGATGTCGAATTGCTGCTTCCCATTGATTATCGAAGCAACCTTTTTGTCACTGTCTGATGTCTTGTTCAACTTCAACTACAATCTTATCTACTACCTTCGCTACATTTACACGAGGTCAGAGGTCGTGGACACTGAGTCTTGTAGCACACATTTCGTTGTGATCGCCTTCGACTTCGCACTTACAACGTGCGTCACCGTACCTCGTGCGGTCAGTTAATGTCGCAGGATCACGCAGACCGATGTCAGATCCGCGTGTTTTTTTTGTTGGACCGCTACTCGGTGCATGATATGCTCTGATATGCTCTTTCATTTGCACCTGTGCACAAACGTTGCGATCTGCCTATGTAACACTCCTAGAGTGAAACATCACCGTTCGTTTCATGTGTTTAGTGTCGCATACTTGAGCCATCGACTGGTCGCAACTCAGGCTCATCATGTTTTCACCTCTATCACTACCGAGCAGGATCGAACTGAGCCATTGCGATTTCCTGTCAACTGGGGCACATATAATCTACGTAATCTGGTCATCGTGTTTTGCAACCTAACTTAATTGCTTTACTAAACGTTACATTAAATCCCGCTGCACACCCTGGCCTCAATGCCGTTCGTATCCACTTTTCTATGTCATCTGTGAAAAACCACTTCTGATTGGGCTATCATTGACAATTTATACCATTTCACTTTAAATCGGACGTTTTCCAAACCAAATTGGACCTTTCGCAAAATAAATTTTACACATTATTTTTCTCAGAATATCCTAAAATATTTAGCCAGAAATGAGGAGTAAGGCGATTGAACCATGTCTAGAGCACATTTTGGCCACGACAATGCAACAGAATTGTGCAAGCGGTGGGCGATTGTGCGAGCCCCTCTCTTGATCAGAGGTGTCACTACCATCAAAGTTTTCTTTTGTCCCTGTAGTGGCCTCCTCGTATTTTGTGGGGGTACGTGGACGAACCTACGCAGCTGCACGACTACTGTGACAAATGCCTTGTGCTGCAGGAAACGACTAAAATGAGCGACGGAAGACGAGAGAGCGCAAATCCGAGGCGGCGACCGTACAAATAAACGTCATGGGCACAGAACGACATCCTCATCAAGCTTGCTTTCGTGGAAAGTAAAACCACCCACGAAGCTGCTGAATTCGCCGATGTCAACGAGACAAGTTCAATGCCTACACACAAGAGAGCACCATTACTCAACGCAAATGTGAAACAACAGGAAGAAATCAACTCCCGATGTCATGCAGCGCGTTGAATTGACCGCTGAATAGCATTTGCAATATACTTGGTGCAGCTGCAGCAGTGGCTAAGAGAGAATGGGATCCACCTGTCCTTGTCTATAGTCTTCAACGCATTCAGAACGCTTAAGATTACGCTGAAAAAGTGGCACTACGAGCTAGACCGTGTCAACTGTGCCCCGACCGTCGCGACTCAGCAGGCCTACACTCTCGACTTCTTGCTACACGCTCTACAACGCACAGGAAAGATATCGTTCAGCATACTAGTGTGATTTGAAATCACTACCCATGACCGAACGAGGATTTGCTGGTGAAGTTTGTACAATGTCACTGAACTCGCGACAATTCACGCTTTGCTCGCAGAATGAACTCACGTACTCGCTCTGCTCGTTTTTTACTGGCGACTGGCCTACTCTCTACTCGTGCAGAGTCAGACACAGCACATTTCAAGGACACTTTGGTGCAGCTGCAGCAGTGGCTGCGAGAGAACGGGATCCACTTATCCGTGTCTACTGTCTTCAACGCTCTGACGTCACGCCGAAGAGGTGCCACTACGAGCTGGACAGTGTCAAAAGTTTCACGACGATCGTAAGTCCGCATGACTGCACTCTCTGCTGCTCGGTAGTCGGCCTACTCATGCTTGCTAACCCTGGCAAAAAAGCGCGCTGTAAAATGAAAAAAGTTTATTGACAAGAAATGAAATTGTTTAAGTTATGGAGGCGGTCACTTGATGCAAGGCTGCCCGGATGCCGCGTTTGTCAAGTTCAACATCATATTGAGGACGCCGTTGCTGCGGTCCTGCTTGGTGAACATCTCAACCATGACATTTTGTTCAAACATAAACTTCATCCTGCATCGGCCGTCGCGCAGATTATCAAGGGTCGTCTTATCTGCTGCATACAACAGGGCGGATAAGCGAAAACATGCTACTGCTGGCGCCTCCCTTCTTTGTTTTCCACCTGTTTCTCTTACTCCCATCCCGACCCCCATTACTAACATTCATTCTATAATTCCCAGCTAAATTGACAGCAACCGAAGTGCTACTGAAGTAGAACCATCTGCAACCACCATCTCACAGCACCTATCGGACGCCAGTCGGCAAAAGTCCCTTACAAGGCCACTCTATCCCGTTTCCATAGCGGCGTTCAACGTTCGCACTCTAAGACAAACAGGTCAACAGGCTGCACTCGCACGCACCTTGGCCACGCTGGTTATTGATGTGTGTGTCCGAAACTAGGATCAATGACCCTGACGGGGTTATTGAATTAACTGCACCCGGCTTCTTCTCTCGTTATTGGTTGCACGCATCCGGAGACGCCGATGCAGCACTCACGGGTCAAGCTGGTGTTGGTACCATTCTAAGTTCCAAGACTGAGCCATCGTTGGTTGGTTGGATTCCGGTGAACAGCCGTTTATGTGCAGCCCATTTGACGACATCAGCTAAGGTTGATTCACGAAGTAGTACAAAGCGCTGTTTGTTTAGGGTTTCCGCTTACGCTCCCACCGACTGCAGTTCAAATGGTGTCAAGGACACATTCTATCACGAATTGAACGCGCTACTATGCAGTGCTACTAGTTCAGATAGTGTAGTACTTGCATGGGATATGAACGCACAGGTAGGGCGTATGAACTCTTCAGAAGCTCAGCTGGGTGGTAATTATGGGCTTAACTCCGAACGGACTGACAACGGCCAGCGTCTGATGCAACTGTGGGCGGAGCACCAGTTGTTTCGTAGTAGCGCTGCTTTTAGACACAGTGGGCGCCGAAGTCCCACTTGGCGTGTTCCTGTAGCTGGCCAGTGATGGACCCAAATTAATCACATTGTCATAAGATATAGGTGACGTGGTTCCATCCTGGATTGCCGCTCGTACTGGAAAACCTGCGTCGACTCTGATCATGCCTTAGTGCCCTGTCATTTTCCATGAACTTTACTGGGAAACGCACCAAGCGTCTCCTCCTGTTGGCAACTGAGAAATTGTCTCAGTCCTCGGTCAGGCAACCCTATCAAGACGCACTGCGTACCGAACATTCGCTGTCTTATCCTAATGACACAGAGGTTCAGTGGAATAGGTTTTTGGGCGCAATGCACGACGCAGGAGCATCTGCTTGTGGCACTATCCATCGTTACTGCACCACTCACTGGATATCCGAGGGGTCGGTGAACCATTTGGAATCTAGAAGAAATATCCCGTCTGGTTCTGAACACAATGTGACCAGACTGGCTATTAGGCGTGGACTTAAGCGGAGCCTGCGTGCTGTCGAAGCCTGGTGAACCAGTCGCGCTCAAGAAATGGAGGAGGAAGGAGCAGTAGGCAATTAACACAAGTTCTTCCAACTAATCCGCACTACTGGTCCCAGAAAACCAGACGTCATGGAGACAATCAGAGACAGCGCGGGTGCGCTGAGACACAATAAGAAGCGCCGTATGGCACGTTGGGCGGAACACTCAAGATCAGTTCAGTTGGCCCACTGCTTCCGGACCTCTTCCTACTCAGGTGATGCAGGACGAGCTATGGACGGTTAGTTTAGAGCCTCCGTCGGATACCGAGGTCCGAAAGGCGATCACAGCCCTCAATCGTTTTCGTGCCACTCGCCCGGGTTCTCTCCCACCTGCACAATTTAAGGATGGAGGTGAGGTCCTCTGCAAAGCACTGACCTCTCTATTCAAACGTATCTGAAAGGGTGTCTCGGCTAATTGGAGCGAATCGATTGTAGTGGTAATATACAAGGGCAGTCGCACAGACTGTTTTAACCACAGGGGTATTAGCCTAACTCCAGTTGTGACAAAAATTATTGGCTTCGATTATCGTTCGTTGCCTCACTGCGCAACGGGAATCTCAGATTAGGAAACAACAGGCCGGTTTCCGCCTGGGACATGGCTGTATAAACCATATCTTCACTTTGCGGCAAGTGCTAGAGCAGCGCCGCGCATACCGCAGGCCGACAATGGCTGTGTTCCTCGATTTCAAGAGTGCGTTCGATTCAGTCGATCAATGCATTCTGTTCGAAATACTTGCGCGGAAAGTTGTTCATACGAAATATTTGAACATCGTTCGTGCTCTATACTCGAAGACTGCAGGCCGCGTCAGGTTCTACAGTGACCTGTCGGATGGCTTTCCGTCCAAAAGTGACGTTCATCAGGGTTGTCCGATTTCCCCATTTTTGTTCAATTTCGTCATGGATTCTATCATGGAGTGTTCTCTTGCGGAATCTCACGATGTAAGCGTTGAAGTGCTTCCTGGTGAAAGGTTAGTTGACCTAGATTATGCGGACGGTATCATCTTGTTTTTCAACCATGTTGGGACGGCACAATCAACCCTGTATAGCCTGTCCAGAGTGGTCCTATTATTTGGTATGCACTTCACACCTTCAAATTGCAAAGTGTT